TCGCTAATTCGGTGTTCAGTTACATCTAGCTTTAACAAGATAAGATATAGCCATAATTAAAAAAAAATATTTTTTAGTTTAATGTTTAGCTTTTCAAAAATGGATACACCAATTAATAACAACGTAGAAACTATAAATTACCCTTTCTTGGTTTCCAACATGTGTCAATAAAAAAGAGTCCCTTGATTTAAGGTTTAGCCTTCTTGTAAAAACAATTGGTATAAAATCTTCCAATTTCATGTAATTGACCTGGTTTTTTTAAAACTTCTCAATCATGTATGAAGCAGTATTGTTTACTTTTATAGCTAAGCTTTTGGTATTTCAAGTGTCGCTATATATCTACGATTAAAACATTGTTCCCGTTTTAAATTTGTGAATATACATTTTTATTATGGAATTTGATAATCCGACATTTGAGCAGTCCTTCAACTATTTTTTTTATGTTTTTACTAATATACCAATAATACATTTACTTTCATAAGAAAATACACCAGATTATCTAGCACTTTCTAAATTAAATTCTTTCAATTTTGGAAGAAAGTATAAATAAAAGAAAAGATAGAAATGGCACTGTCAAACGATTATATATTTTTCAATGATTGTATCAAATTGGCTTGAACTCGATTGTTTTTTTAGTTAATATATAGATATTTCAATTGAAAAAATGTTTTAAATTTAATGGGATATTTTAAAATTGCTGTTCGAATGAAATATCTAATTTGAAAAAGTAACTAGAATCTAAAGGATAAAATGGTTTAACTAGAAAAGATTATCAGGATTTAAAGATATCATTCGCATTTATGTGGTATAAAATTATATTGACATTATACGATAAATACTCTAATTTCCACACAAAAAGATACAATGATTTAAAAAATATTAACAAATATTACCTTGCAGTTATTTCAATTGACAAGGTAATAATAAGTGACATTGGAGATGGAAATAAATTAGATTCTATTAATGTAAGCGTGTTCCTTCCTAAAAGTTGGTTTTATTCTATTCTATTCTGTATATTATAAATTGTACGGTAGCAAAACTTTTGCCATGTGTAGTTAGGGTTCATTTGTATTAAGTCGTAACAAATAAAACTCTAATTAATTAATTATTACTGATTGAAGCTGAGAAAAACTTATGATTGATATTACAATATTTATACTGTTTCAATCTGAGATCCCTAATTGAAATTACGTGGAATGTTTTGCTATTTAATAATGTTAATGGGTTTTCTTTTTTGTGATGATCAATGCACTGGACTACATAATGGGTCTGCTAAACCGACCAATTAGTAATTTCAGACACTAGTATTGTTATTTGATAGCATAATATGTATATATAGCCTGCTAGGAGATTGTAATTTCTAAATTCGAAACTTTAAGATATCGAGGTTGTTGCTTTTTTACATATGACAATACCTGAGCGAAATTGAATTATACTGTTTGATATGGATTTTTAAGAACTTATTTAACTGAAGTACTCGGTAAATATTTTTTTATAAAATATTATTTTCGTAGACCAAAATTGAAGTAAAACTTAAATTATAATATCAAACGTCTAATTCAAGGATAGTTTAGAGACGTACATAAATTTACCGTTATAGTTTTGGGTTGTTTGGATATCGGATAGAATTTTAAATTTTATTTTAATAAACTGTAAAATCTAAGCAGCAAACTAGAGATTCATAGAGAGAAATGTCTCGGCCGTTTCTTATGGTATATGTTTTCAGAGATTAATAGTATCGATGGAAACTACAGAACTATCAAAAACTAATTATTAGTGAGAATAATATTTTTTAGACCCCTTTAAGTTTCAAGTATTTTTTATTTCAATTGATGTAGCAAATTCAACTTAACTTTTAATCCCGATGCTTATTTTTTGCCCCAATAAGAGTATTAAACCCCTTATCAAGTTAATAGCCTTATTTAAAATATTCTTAATATTATAAAATAAAATAAGGAAGGAAGTAACAAGCGATGAGGTATTTTTACTCGGTATTATTCATAATCGTTCGAGATGAATAACTTAGGATTTGGTCCAGGAAATTCATACTTGCATATGTCCGTTTTTGTAGTATTTGATATGGTTCGACATTTTCCAGAGATATTTATTTTATCTTTTCTATCAAATAGAATTAAAATAGAAATATTAAATTTCTTACCACCATCTAGAAGTTTATTTTTTTGATTATTATTCTTAAATCTACGTATCTGAAATTTATTCATTTCATCCTTCTTCTTATGGAAGTAAATAGAAATTTCAAAATATATTCGAAAAATAATAGAAATAAGATTTTATTTTCATATTTCTGAAGTTCTACGAGATAAATAAATTAGGTTCATACTGAGATATGTCAGTTTCTAGCTGCTCAATGTCAATTTGTCTATATAAAACTGACAAATACGGATACTTTCTAACTTTTTTCAGATGCAATGAAGTTGCGGAGTGCTTCAACCTGGACAAAGGAAAATGGTTCGATTTGTACTACCTCAACAGAAATAGAAAAAAAAAATAAGACCATTCATTCAGTTACATCCATGTGATACCTTGGGGAGTCAATATGTAGTATTATATCTCGGTAACTTAAGTGTATATGTTATGAATTTTCCTAGGAATATTAAATCAAAAAAGGTAATGAGAGGTTCTCTTGGGGGGATTGATGTGACTTCATATTCAATTTATAATCTGAATTTCTTGAATATTCAATTTCATAACTTCTGTAAATGTGGAGTGGGTCGTGTACATTGAGAGTTATCTATTCGGTTACTAAAGAAAATTCTAATAGGAATTCTATTTTATAATATTTTCTGTCAGAACCCTTTAAATTGTATGGATAATTTACTTAATTTATAGAAAAATACTCATAATTGCATTACCTCGCCAATTGTTTATAAGACCCTGTTCGGATTAGAGTTCTTTACTATATTAAAGATACAAATAGTTAAAATATTATTTGTAAAAGTAATTGAAACGTATCAAATACTTTTGTACTAATTATTTCCAAAAGTGAAAAAACATTTGTAGCAAGGAACTGTAGAACGGTTTAATTATTCCGCTATTAAGGTTCATTAATTTGGTTAATTATATTCGAACAAGGGATTCTAGCTCTCAATTACTTTGTAAGTTGTGATAGAATTGAGACAGTTGGTGTATAATTTTCATGATAGAGTAACTTTATAGTGAAAGTTGGGTAAAAATAATATATTTCAGTTGTATATAAGAAGCAACCAGATTTATTTCTTATGTTTCTTGATTCCGTAACTAAACTATTATTCATCCTGATTTTAATTCTAAGTTCAATATAAGCCAGTATTGTATACTTCTATAAGTCTATAAGTCTATAAGTCTATAAGTCTATAATTGCAATAGGAGAAAGATTTTTATCGACTGAAGTTAAAAAACTAATAATAAAACTGAAATGAATAAAATCCAGTTAAACTTTATTAAGGTTTTTGTATTTTTGACATGTTTTGTCTTTTCAGAAGTGCAAGCGCATTTTAATAAATGTACACCAACACTCCCTGTAGGTTGTGTTTATGATGGATGGCATCATATTGTTCGTTGTTCTACCACAATCCCTCTGTGTAAACCAACTACTTCCAAAAACACCGTAGAAAAGGGATACTGGACAAACACCTGTAACAAATGGGTATACAAGAGCCAATTGTCTGTTTACTATACCCAAACAGAATGCGTAACTTCTTTACCAACTTCAGAACTTCCTACTTCTTTACTAACTTCAGAAATTCCAACTTCAGAAATTCCAACTTCAGAAATTCCAACTTCAGAAATTCCAACTTCAGAAATTCCAACTTCAGAAATTCCAACTAGTACTATAGTTGAAATTGAAGAGTCTACTTCCTCATCTGAGTCTACAATTTTCAGCACTTCAACTACTTATTGGACAGGGTCATATGACACTACATTTTTAACTATCACTGAAGAAACAACCGGTACGGATAATGTGGTAACTTCAACTTTGATTTACATTGTTCAAACACCTATCAGGGCTGTCACTTCTACTACAAGTCAGTATTGGAGTGCTACTGTTTTCAGTACTAGTATCTCTACTTATACCTATACTGGTACAGATAACTTCGAAACCACTGAAACTATTTATCAAGTTTATCTTCCAATATTTGTCACTACAATTACTATCACTACAGATTTCCCGGATGAAAGGTTTGGAAACGATCCTGATTTAATCTACCCTACTTTCTCTTCAACAGTTCTTCGCGTTGTACCTTCAGATAGTGCTCCATACTTTTTGTACGTCGTTTATGTTGCAGAATCAGAATGTGTAAAATCATGCGACGCGGTGAAATCATAGACTTATCGATTATTTTCTAACGCGGTATATGATGAAAATAGCCTTTTTTGCCAATGTTTAAAATGGTCAATTTATTTTCGCCATTTTTTCAATTGTGTTTTTTTTGACTTATATTTTTGTCTATTCGTTTTTATTAAATTATTTTTTTGCTAATTATTTACATATTTAGTTATTTACTTTTGTTTTATTTAACTTTTATGTCTTTAAAATGCAAGAATTCTCCTCCATAAAAGTTAAAATGTCAAATCTATAAATTTGGCTTAAGTTATATTTATGAGACGATGATCTGGGAAAATTACACAGTTTTAGTCATAATTAGAATATATATTATATTAACTTACATACTATAATATATTGTGGTGTAGAATGTTTTATACTGGTTATACACATCACGCCTTCAATTCCATATCCTCAAATCGTTGCTAATCTCATTTTAAAATAATTTAGCAGAATTTTTCCTAGAAATAGAATGAATAAATTTATTTTTATCCCTTTTCACAGGTCCGTACATCTAATTATTCTTTACTGTGACATTTTGCCTACAGATTATTATATTTTAGTAAAAACTTGAACATATTTTTGTTGGGATATGGTTAACATTAGAAGCTAAACCAGCAAGCCAGCATAATCACCAAACCAGCATCTAATTAGAATAACTAGATGCTATCTTTAAGCTATATAAATGGATAGTATTCAAGATAAATGAAACTATTCCTACCCTTTATCTAATCCTTATATAATACTTGTAGAGAATCAGAAGTTTGTGGATGCTTTACAGAATCGTTAATAGTAGTAGATTGTTTAGTTGTTTGCAAGGAAATTCTTAATAAGTTGATATTGATCCGGTGTATTAAAGTATAAAATATACACATGGGAATATAGTACATATGATAAGTGTCAATTAAGATCTTATCAGACTTTATATACAATGTTTAGATATTATTGACACGTCAGAAGCAAATACTTTCGTATTATAAACATTTCTTTATCCCTTATTGATAATGATGTTTCATATAATTCTTCACCCTTATTAATATTGAATTAATGAGTATGACTTTACGTCATCTCATAATTTCTGACAATACTATATAAAAAGTAATTAAGGATTAGCGTCCCAAATATATAGCTTAGAATAATGGATACTCAAATTAATAATAATCTCGAAACTTTTAATTACTTCTTCTCAGTTTCGAACCTGAGACAACAGTTTCCAACATTTAAGGTCTGTTAGAAAAATTAAGCTCATAATCATATAGAAGAGAAATCTAAAAAATTTCAGAAATAATTTCCGACCTATTAAAATAAACTTCTTGTACATCATATTTCTACATAACTAGATTTTTAGTTTAATCAATCCCTTTCTACATTTCCAAGAATCCAACTGTTATTTAATCTATTCCCGAATAAATACTCAATCATTTTTCTATTAACTGAAACATATATTTTATCGTTTACTCTACTTATATGTTATGGATTGTTCAAGTTTTGAATAAAATCATTAGGAATAAGATATAAGGTTTTAAAATTGCAAAAACCTCTAATATAGGAGACGAGAGAATCTATATTACGATGTTGAAAGTCATTAAACTGTCTGTAATTGACGATTTGATCCTCACTTTTCCCTTCATCATTAATATTACTTGTGATAATAAGCAATATATGATCAAGGATGTTATAAATTAAACGGTATTAAAAAATTGTTGATGAAGGTTCGAAACTGAGAAGGAGTAATTTAAAGTTTTGAGATTTTTACTAATTTGAGTATCCATTATTCTAAGCTAAATGTTTGGGAAGCTAATCCTTAATTTTATTATACAAGACTATAGAAGGAATATATTAGATCCAAGGTATAAGTACAGTCATACGTTAGGAATCAGAAAAAGGCTTAATTATATTAAATTAACTAATAGTATATGAAAATATAAATTTACAAATTAATTTACAAAAAGTGAAGTTTAGAAAAAAAGTATGCTTATATACCTTTTGGAATTACTAGTTACCCTAACGGTATAACTGTTCATAATATAGATATGACAGACATTTGATTGACATCTACTGATTTCCAGAGTCCAACACAATCTGTCTTTTATCTTATATATTTCAATCATTTTGTCGAAATAAAATCCAATACTTACCAGAGTTTTCATTTCATCCCATTAGTATTACACTTCTACTAATTCTATTTTATGAGGAACCGTCAATTATCATGGTTAGGTTGATTGAATGCCCTCAATATCTAATACATATGAAGCAATGGCAAAATTTTCATTGCCTCAGAAAAAGAGCAAATGATAACATTAAGTTTCCTTTCAAAGTTAAGTTTAAAGAACATATAGAATAAAACACTAAATTTATAGCATCAACAAATAATTTATTCCGTATTGGTTACAGTTTATATAAGTTGACGGAAGTACTCTGTCAATATTTATTAAAATTGTTCATTCTCCTTATCGCAACTATGATATAAGACTTATCATTATTAAAATGTTCATTAACTAATTAGTTCTTGCTTAATACATCATTTAATTAAATCATATTCTTGATATAATCATCGATAAAATCTCACAATACAATAATGTTGTTCTATTAATATAATTTCATTACTTAATTTAAATATATATTATATCAGAATATTTTGCTAAATTAAATATGACATGGCGCGCTAAGTTAATACTAGATAAAATCCAAAATTATACCAATTTAATCTTAGGTAAGAAATTTAGTCTTATATAGGAAATAAAGTCTTTTCCCATGTATGTAATAACCAGAACATTAAGTATTTATCTGTACTAAAATTAATGAGACAGGGAAAAGATCTAAAAAACATGTCAATATAAAATAATAAATCTAAATAAATTTTAATATTAAACGAACTAAAAACTTAAAATATATCTATCTAAATTCAGAAGACTGCTAATATTAGCATACTAAATATGGTAAACAGACCGTAATTTGCATGTCTTACATTTGCAGAACCTTCAAATTCTGAAGTCAATGAAATTGTTGATCTAGTAACTTCATTTGAAAAGGATGATGAAGAAGATTTAGTAGAAGATATAGGAGATTCCACATCTATAACTGAACTTGACTTTTCAAAATTTACTGAGCTATTTGTAGCCGATCTTGAACTCGAAATTGAAGTCAATTCAGTACTGGTAACAACAGGTGTTGTGTGTTGAGATGTTTCACATGGAACAGTTGTAGTTATAGTGACAATGTTACCTTCGGAATCAGTAACTGTAATTACTGAGGTTTCAGAACTGGTAGCAACAGGTGTTGTGTGTTGAGATGTTTCACATGGAACAGTTGTAGTTATAGTGACAATGTTACCTTCGGAATCAGTAACTGTAATTACTGAGGTTTCAGAACTGGTAGCAACAGGTGTTGTGTGTTGAGATGTTTCACATGGAACAGTTGTAGTTATAGTGACAATGTTACCTTCGGAATCAGTAACTGTAATTACTGAGGTTTCAGAACTGGTAGCAACAGGTGTTGTGTGTTGAGATGTTTCACATGGAACAGTTGTAGTTATAGTGACAATGTTACCTTCGGAATCAGTAACTGTAATTACTGAGGTTTCAGAACTGGTAGCAACAGGTGTTGTGTGTTGAGATGTTTCACATGGAACAGTTGTAGTTATAGTGACAATGTTACCTTCGGAATCAGTAACTGTAATTACTGAGGTTTCAGAACTGGTAGCAACAGGTGTTGTGTGTTGAGATGTTTCACATGGAACAGTTGTAGTTATAGTGACAATGTTACCTTCGGAATCAGTAACTGTAATTACTGAGGTTTCAGAACTGGTAGCAACAGGTGTTGTCTGTAGAGATGTTTCAGAAGAAACGGTTGTAATTATAGTAACTGTATTACCGTCTGATTTACTAACTGTTGTAAAACCTTCGCCAGTATTCTGCTGAGAAATATCAATAGACGAGGAATGGTCAATACAGGTTAAGCAAACAGATAAGACATCATCTGTCGAAGTAAGCTCATTACAAGTCAAACAACTAGATTCAATTTCAAATCCACTTGTTACAATAGTACTAATAAATGAACTATTTCCATAGAAAGGCAAAGATGGGTAAACAATACTTGATGAAACAACGTCAAAACTACTAACAGTGAAAACCTCAGTATTAGAAGATATCAAAGACGAAAACACAGATCCTATATCCGAAACATCATCAAAAGTACTAGAACTGTAAGATTCAGTCAAAGTGTAAGTGGTGGTACCAGTTACAATGTGGCCGTCAGAGTCAGTGGATGGGAAGTAGGAGATCACGTCGGTTTCAGTGGTGCTACCGCTAGACACTGTAGTAGTGATTGGAGGTGGTAACGAGAATTCATCGGTGGTAGAACTGTGAGATTCAGTCAAAGTGTAAGTGGTGGTACCAGTTACAATGTGGCCGTCAGAGTCGGTGGATGGGAAGTAGGAGATCACGTCGGTTTCAGTGGTGCTACCGCTAGAAACTGTAGTAGTGATTGGAGGTGGTAATGAGAATTCATCGGTGGTAGAACTGTGAGATTCAGTCAAAGTGTAAGTGGTGGTACCAGTTACAATGTGGCCGTCAGAGTCAGTGGATGGGAAGTAGGAGATCACGTCGGTTTCAGTGGTGCTACCGCTAGAAACTGTAGTAGTGATTGGAGGTGGTAACGAGAATTCGTCAGTGGTAGAACTGTGAGATTCAGTCAAAGTGTAAGTGGTGGTACCAGTTACAATGTGGCCGTCAGAGTCGGTGGATGGGAAGTAGGAGATCACGTCAGTTTCAGTGGTGCTACCGCTAGAAACTGTAGTAGTGATTGGAGGTGGTAATGAGAATTCATCGGTGGTAGAACTGTGAGATTCAGTCAAAGTGTAAGTGGTGGTACCAGTTACAATGTGGCCGTCAGAGTCGGTGGATGGGAAGTAGGAGATCACGTCGGTTTCAGTGGTGCTACCGCTAGAAACTGTAGTAGTGATTGGAGGTGGTAACGAGAATTCGTCAGTGGTAGAACTGTGAGATTCAGTCAAAGTGTAAGTGGTGGTACCAGTTACAATGTGGCCGTCAGAGTCGGTGGATGGGAAGTAGGAGATCACGTCGGTTTCAGTGGTGCTACCGCTAGAAACTGTAGTAGTGATTGGAGGTGGTAACGAGAATTCATCGGTGGTAGAACTGTGAGATTCAGTCAAAGTGTAAGTGGTGGTACCAGTTACAATGTGGCCGTCAGAGTCGGTGGATGGGAAGTAGGAGATCACGTCAGTTTCAGTGGTGCTACCGCTAGAAACTGTAGTAGTGATTGGAGGTGGTAATGAGAATTCATCGGTGGTAGAACTGTGAGATTCAGTCAAAGTGTAAGTGGTGGTACCAGTTACAATGTGGCCGTCAGAGTCAGTGGATGGGAAGTAGGAGATCACGTCGGTTTCAGTGGTGCTACCGCTAGAAACTGTAGTAGTGATTGGAGGTGGTAATGAGAATTCATCGGTGGTAGAACTGTGAGATTCAGTCAAAGTGTAAGTGGTGGTACCAGTTACAATGTGGCCGTCAGAGTCGGTGGATGGGAAGTAGGAGATCACGTCGGTTTCAGTGGTGCTACCGCTAGAAACTGTAGTAGTGATTGGAGGTGGTAACGAGAATTCATCGGTGGTAGAACTGTGAGATTCAGTCAAAGTGTAAGTGGTGGTACCAGTTACAATGTGGCCGTCAGAGTCGGTGGATGGGAAGTAGGAGATCACGTCGGTTTCAGTGGTGCTACCGCTAGACACTGTAGTAGTGATTGGAGGTGGTAACGAGAATTCGTCAGTGGTAGAACTGTGAGATTCAGTCAAAGTGTAAGTGGTGGTACCAGTTACAATGTGGCCGTCAGAGTCGGTGGATGGGAAGTAGGAGATCACGTCGGTTTCAGTGGTGCTACCGCTAGAAACTGTAGTAGTGATTGGAGGTGGTAATGAGAATTCATCGGTGGTAGAACTGTGAGATTCAGTCAAAGTGTAAGTGGTGGTACCAGTTACAATGTGGCCGTCAGAGTCAGTGGATGGGAAGTAGGAGATCACGTCGGTTTCAGTGGTGCTACCGCTAGAAACTGTAGTAGTGATTGGAGGTGGTAATGAGAATTCATCGGTGGTAGAACTGTGAGATTCAGTCAAAGTGTAAGTGGTGGTACCAGTTACAATGTGGCCGTCAGAGTCAGTGGATGGGAAGTAGGAGATCACGTCGGTTTCAGTGGTGCTACCGCTAGAAACTGTAGTAGTGATTGGAGGTGGTAACGAGAATTCGTCAGTGGTAGAACTGTGAGATTCAGTCAAAGTGTAAGTGGTGGTACCAGTTACAATGTGGCCGTCAGAGTCGGTGGATGGGAAGTAGGAGATCACGTCGGTTTCAGTGGTGCTACCGCTAGAAACTGTAGTAGTGATTGGAGGTGGTAATGAGAATTCATCGGTGGTAGAACTGTGAGATTCAGTCAAAGTGTAAGTGGTGGTACCAGTTACAATGTGGCCGTCAGAGTCAGTGGATGGGAAGTAGGAGATCACGTCGGTTTCAGTGGTGCTACCGCTAGAAACTGTAGTAGTGATTGGAGGTGGTAATGAGAATTCATCGGTGGTAGAACTGTGAGATTCAGTCAAAGTGTAAGTGGTGGTACCAGTTACAATGTGGCCGTCAGAGTCGGTGGATGGGAAGTAGGAGATCACGTCGGTTTCAGTGGTGCTACCGCTAGAAACTGTAGTAGTGATTGGAGGTGGTAACGAGAATTCGTCAGTGGTAGAACTGTGAGATTCAGTCAAAGTGTAAGTGGTGGTACCAGTTACAATGTGGCCGTCAGAGTCGGTGGATGGGAAGTAGGAGATCACGTCAGTTTCAGTGGTGCTACCGCTAGAAACTGTAGTAGTGATTGGAGGTGGTAATGAGAATTCATCGGTGGTAGAACTGTGAGATTCAGTCAAAGTGTAAGTGGTGGTACCAGTTACAATGTGGCCGTCAGAGTCAGTGGATGGGAAGTAGGAGATCACGTCGGTTTCAGTGGTGCTACCGCTAGAAACTGTAGTAGTGATTGGAGGTGGTAACGAGAATTCGTCAGTGGTAGAACTGTGAGATTCAGTCAAAGTGTAAGTGGTGGTACCAGTTACAATGTGGCCGTCAGAGTCGGTGGATGGGAAGTAGGAGATCACGTCAGTTTCAGTGGTGCTACCGCTAGAAACTGTAGTAGTGATTGGAGGTGGTAACGAGAATTCATCGGTGGTAGAACTGTGAGATTCAGTCAAAGTGTAAGTGGTGGTACCAGTTACAATGTGGCCGTCAGAGTCGGTGGATGGGAAGTAGGAGATCACGTCGGTTTCAGTGGTGCTACCGCTAGAAACTGTAGTAGTGATTGGAGGTGGTAACGAGAATTCATCGGTGGTAGAACTGTGAGATTCAGTCAAAGTGTAAGTGGTGGTACCAGTTACAATGTGGCCGTCAGAGTCAGTGGATGGGAAGTAGGAGATCACGTCGGTTTCAGTGGTGCTACCGCTAGAAACTGTAGTAGTGATTGGAGGTGGTAACGAGAATTCGTCAGTGGTAGAACTGTGAGATTCAGTCAAAGTGTAAGTGGTGGTACCAGTTACAATGTGGCCGTCAGAGTCAGTGGATGGGAAGTAGGAGATCACGTCGGTTTCAGTGGTGCTACCGCTAGAAACTGTAGTAGTGATTGGAGGTGGTAATGAGAATTCATCGGTGGTAGAACTGTGAGATTCAGTCAAAGTGTAAGTGGTGGTACCAGTTACAATGTGGCCGTCAGAGTCGGTGGATGGGAAGTAGGAGATCACGTCGGTTTCAGTGGTGCTACCGCTAGAAACTGTAGTAGTGATTGGAGGTGGTAACGAGAATTCATCGGTGGTAGAACTGTGAGATTCAGTCAAAGTGTATGTGGTGGTACCAGTTACAATGTGGCCGTCAGAGTCGGTGGATGGGAAGTAGGAGATCACGTCGGTTTCAGTGGTGCTACCGCTAGAAACTGTAGTAGTGATTGGAGGTGGTAATGAGAATTCATCGGTGGTAGAACTGTGAGATTCAGTCAAAGTGTAAGTGGTGGTACCAGTTACAATGTGGCCGTCAGAGTCGGTGGATGGGAAGTAGGAGATCACGTCGGTTTCAGTGGTGCTACCGCTAGAAACTGTAGTAGTGATTGGAGGTGGTAACGAGAATTCGTCAGTGGTAGAACTGTGAGATTCAGTCAAAGTGTAAGTGGTGGTACCAGTTACAATGTGGCCGTCAGAGTCAGTGGATGGGAAGTAGGAGATCACGTCGGTTTCAGTGGTGCTACCGCTAGAAACTGTAGTAGTGATTGGAGGTGGTAATGAGAATTCATCGGTGGTAGAACTGTGAGATTCAGTCAAAGTGTAAGTGGTGGTACCAGTTACAATGTGGCCGTCAGAGTCGGTGGATGGGAAGTAGGAGATCACGTCGGTTTCAGTGGTGCTACCGCTAGAAACTGTAGTAGTGATTGGAGGTGGTAACGAGAATTCATCGGTGGTAGAACTGTGAGATTCAGTCAAAGTGTAAGTGGTGGTACCAGTTACAATGTGGCCGTCAGAGTCGGTGGATGGGAAGTAGGAGATCACGTCGGTTTCAGTGGTGCTACCGCTAGAAACTGTAGTAGTGATTGGAGGTGGTAACGAGAATTCATCGGTGGTAGAACTGTGAGATTCAGTCAAAGTGTAAGTGGTGGTACCAGTTACAATGTGGCCGTCAGAGTCAGTGGATGGGAAGTAGGAGATCACGTCGGTTTCAGTGGTGCTACCGCTAGAAACTGTAGTAGTGATTGGAGGTGGTAACGAGAATTCGTCAGTGGTAGAACTGTGAGATTCAGTCAAAGTGTAAGTGGTGGTACCAGTTACAATGTGGCCGTCAGAGTCGGTGGATGGGAAGTAGGAGATCACGTCGGTTTCAGTGGTGCTACCGCTAGAAACTGTAGTAGTGATTGGAGGTGGTAATGAGAATTCATCGGTGGTAGAACTGTGAGATTCAGTCAAAGTGTAAGTGGTGGTACCAGTTACAATGTGGCCGTCAGAGTCGGTGGATGGGAAGTAGGAGATCACGTCGGTTTCAGTGGTGCTACCGCTAGAAACTGTAGTAGTGATTGGAGGTGGTAACGAGAATTCATCGGTGGTAGAACTGTGAGATTCAGTCAAAGTGTAAGTGGTGGTACCAGTTACAATGTGGCCGTCAGAGTCAGTGGATGGGAAGTAGGAGATCACGTCGGTTTCAGTGGTGCTACCGCTAGAAACTGTAGTAGTGATTGGAGGTGGTAACGAGAATTCGTCAGTGGTAGAACTGTGAGATTCAGTCAAAGTGTAAGTGGTGGTACCAGTTACAATGTGGCCGTCAGAGTCGGTGGATGGGAAGTAGGAGATCACGTCGGTTTCAGTGGTGCTACCGCTAGAAACTGTAGTAGTGATTGGAGGTGGTAATGAGAATTCATCGGTGGTAGAACTGTGAGATTCAGTCAAAGTGTAAGTGGTGGTACCAGTTACAATGTGGCCGTCAGAGTCGGTGGATGGGAAGTAGGAGATCACGTCGGTTTCAGTGGTGCTACCGCTAGAAACTGTAGTAGTGATTGGAGGTGGTAACGAGAATTCATCGGTGGTAGAACTGTGAGATTCAGTCAAAGTGTATGTGGTGGTACCAGTTACAATGTGGCCGTCAGAGTCGGTGGATGGGAAGTAGGAGATCACGTCGGTTTCAGTGGTGCTACCGCTAGAAACTGTAGTAGTGATTGGAGGTGGTAACGAGAATTCATCGGTGGTAGAACTGTGAGATTCAGTCAAAGTGTAAGTGGTGGTACCAGTTACAATGTGGCCGTCAGAGTCGGTGGATGGGAAGTAGGAGATCACGTCGGTTTCAGTGGTGCTACCGCTAGAAACTGTAGTAGTGATTGGAGGTGGTAACGAGAATTCATCGGTGGTAGAACTGTGAGATTCAGTCAAAGTGTATGTGGTGGTACCAGTTACAATGTGGCCGTCAGAGTCAGTGGATGGGAAGTAGGAGATCACGTCGGTTTCAGTGGTGCTACCGCTAGAAACTGTAGTAGTGATTGGAGGTGGTAACGAGAATTCGTCAGTGGTAGAACTGTGAGATTCAGTCAAAGTGTAAGTGGTGGTACCAGTTACAATGTGGCCGTCAGAGTCGGTGGATGGGAAGTAGGAGATCACGTCAGTTTCAGTGGTGCTACCGCTAGAAACTGTAGTAGTGATTGGAGGTGGTAATGAGAATTCATCGGTGGTAGAACTGTGAGATTCAGTCAAAGTGTAAGTGGTGGTACCAGTTACAATGTGGCCGTCAGAGTCAGTGGATGGGAAGTAGGAGATCACGTCGGTTTCAGTGGTGCTACCGCTAGAAACTGTAGTAGTGATTGGAGGTGGTAATGAGAATTCATCGGTGGTAGAACTGTGAGATTCAGTCAAAGTGTAAGTGGTGGTACCAGTTACAATGTGGCCGTCAGAGTCGGTGGATGGGAAGTAGGAGATCACGTCGGTTTCAGTGGTGCTACCGCTAGAAACTGTAGTAGTGATTGGAGGTGGTAACGAGAATTCGTCAGTGGTAGAACTGTGAGATTCAGTCAAAGTGTAAGTGGTGGTACCAGTTACAATGTGGCCGTCAGAGTCGGTGGATGGGAAGTAGGAGATCACGTCAGTTTCAGTGGTGCTACCGCTAGAAACTGTAGTAGTGATTGGAGGTGGTAATGAGAATTCATCGGTGGTAGAACTGTGAGATTCAGTCAAAGTGTAAGTGGTGGTACCAGTTACAATGTGGCCGTCAGAGTCGGTGGATGGGAAGTAGGAGATCACGTCGGTTTCAGTGGTGCTACCGCTAGAAACTGTAGTAGTGATTGGAGGTGGTAATGAGAATTCATCGGTGGTAGAACTGTGAGATTCAGTCAAAGTGTAAGTGGTGGTACCAGTTACAATGTGGCCGTCAGAGTCAGTGGATGGGAAGTAGGAGATCACGTCGGTTTCAGTGGTGCTACCGCTAGAAACTGTAGTAGTGATTGGAGGTGGTAACGAGAATTCGTCAGTGGTAGAACTGTGAGATTCAGTCAAAGTGTAAGTGGTGGTACCAGTTACAATGTGGCCGTCAGAGTCAGTGGATGGGAAGTAGGAGATCACGTCGGTTTCAGTGGTGCTACCGCTAGAAACTGTAGTAGTGATTGGAGGTGGTAACGAGAATTCGTCAGTGGTAGAACTGTGAGATTCAGTCAAAGTGTAAGTGGTGGTACCAGTTACAATGTGGCCGTCAGAGTCGGTGGATGGGAAGTAGGAGATCACGTCGGTTTCAGTGGTGCTACCGCTAGAAACTGTAGTAGTGATTGGAGGTGGTAATGAGAATTCATCGGTGGTAGAACTGTGAGATTCAGTCAAAGTGTAAGTGGTGGTACCAGTTACAATGTGGCCGTCAGAGTCGGTGGATGGGAAGTAGGAGATCACGTCGGTTTCAGTGGTGCTACCGCTAGAAACTGTAGTAGTGATTGGAGGTGGTAACGAGAATTCGTCAGTGGTAGAACTGTGAGATTCAGTCAAAGTGTAAGTGGTGGTACCAGTTACAATGTGGCCGTCAGAGTCGGTGGATGGGAAGTAGGAGATCACGTCGGTTTCAGTGGTGCTACCGCTAGAAACTGTAGTAGTGATTGGAGGTGGTAACGAGAATTCATCGGTGGTAGAACTGTGAGATTCAGTCAAAGTGTAAGTGGTGGTACCAGTTACAATGTGGCCGTCAGAGTCGGTGGATGGGAAGTAGGAGATCACGTCGGTTTCAGTGGTGCTACCGCTAGAAACTGTAGTAGTGATTGGAGGTGGTAACGAGAATTCGTCAGTGGTAGAACTGTGAGATTCAGTCAAAGTGTAAGTGGTGGTACCAGTTACAATGTGGCCGTCAGAGTCGGTGGATGGGAAGTAGGAGATCACGTCGGTTTCAGTGGTGCTACCGCTAGAAACTGTAGTAGTGATTGGAGGTGGTAACGAGAATTCATCGGTGGTAGAACTGTGAGATTCAGTCAAAGTGTAAGTGGTGGTACCAGTTACAATGTGGCCGTCAGAGTCGGTGGATGGGAAGTAGGAGATCACGTCGGTTTCAGTGGTGCTACCGCTAGAAACTGTAGTAGTGATTGGAGGTGGTAACGAGAATTCATCGGTGGTAGAACTGTGAGATTCAGTCAAAGTGTAAGTGGTGGTACCAGTTACAATGTGGCCGTCAGAGTCAGTGGATGGGAAGTAGGAGATCACGTCGGTTTCAGTGGTGCTACCGCTAGAAACTGTAGTAGTGATTGGAGGTGGTAATGAGAATTCATCGGTGGTAGAACTGTGAGATTCAGTCAAAGTGTATGTGGTGGTACCAGTTACAATGTGGCCGTCAGAGTCGGTGGATGGGAAGTAGGAGATCACGTCGGTTTCAGTGGTGCTACCGCTAGAAACTGTAGTAGTGATTGGAGGTGGTAACGAGAATTCGTCAGTGGTAGAACTGTGAGATTCAGTCAAAGTGTAAGTGGTGGTACCAGTTACAATGTGGCCGTCAGAGTCGGTGGATGGGAAGTAGGAGATCACGTCGGTTTCAGTGGTGCTACCGCTAGAAACTGTAGTAGTGATTGGAGGTGGTAACGAGAATTCATCGGTGGTAGAACTGTGAGATTCAGTCAAAGTGTAAGTGGTGGTACCAGTTACAATGTGGCCGTCAGAGTCGGTGGATGGGAAGTAGGAGATCACGTCGGTTTCAGTGGTGCTACCGCTAGAAACTGTAGTAGTGATTGGAGGTGGTAACGAGAATTCATCGGTGGTAGAACTGTGAGATTCAGTCAAAGTGTATGTGGTGGTACCAGTTACAATGTGGCCGTCAGAGTCGGTAGATGGGAAGTAGGAGATCACGTCGGTTTCAGTGGTGCTACCGCTAGAAACTGTAGTAGTGATTGGAGGTGGTAACGAGAATTCATCGGTGGTAGAACTGTGAGATTCAGTCAAAGTGTAAGTGGTGGTACCAGTTACAATGTGGCCGTCAGAGTCGGTGGATGGGAAGTAGGAGATCACGTCGGTTTCAGTGGTGCTACCGCTAGAAACTGTAGTAGTGATTGGAGGTGGTAACGAGAATTCGTCAGTGGTAGAACTGTGAGATTCAGTCAAAGTGTAAGTGGTGGTACCAGTTACAATGTGGCCGTCAGAGTCGGTGGATGGGAAGTAGGAGATCACGTCGGTTTCAGTGGTGCTACCGCTAGAAACTGTAGTAGTGATTGGAGGTGGTAATGAGAATTCATCGGTGGTAGAACTGTGAGATTCAGTCAAAGTGTAAGTGGTGGTACCAGTTACAATGTGGCCGTCAGAGTCGGTGGATGGGAAGTAGGAGATCACGTCGGTTTCAGTGGTGCTACCGCTAGAAACTGTAGTAGTGATTGGAGGTGGTAACGAGAATTCATCGGTGGTAGAACTGTGAGATTCAGTCAAAGTGTAAGTGGTGGTACCAGTTACAATGTGGCCGTCAGAGTCGGTGGATGGGAAGTAGGAGATCACGTCGGTTTCAGTGGTGCTACCGCTAGAAACTGTAGTAGTGATTGGAGGTGGTAACGAGAATTCATCGGTGGTAGAACTGTGAGATTCAGTCAAAGTGTAAGTGGTGGTACCAGTTACAATGTGGCCGTCAGAGTCAGTGGATGGGAAGTAGGAGATCACGTCGGTTTCAGTGGTGCTACCGCTAGAAACTGTAGTAGTGATTGGAGGTGGTAACGAGAATTCATCGGTGGTAGAACTGTGAGATTCAGTCAAAGTGTAAGTGGTGGTACCAGTTACAATGTGGCCGTCAGAGTCAGTGGATGGGAAGTAGGAGATCACGTCGGTTTCAGTGGTGCTACCGCTAGAAACTGTAGTAGTGATTGGAGGTGGTAACGAGAATTCGTCAGTGGTAGAACTGTGAGATTCAGTCAAAGTGTAAGTGGTGGTACCAGTTACAATGTGGCCGTCAGAGTCGGTGGATGGGAAGTAGGAGATCACGTCGGTTTCAGTGGTGCTACCGCTAGAAACTGTAGTAGTGATTGGAGGTGGTAACGAGAATTCATCGGTGGTAGAACTGTGAGATTCAGTCAAAGTGTAAGTGGTGGTACCAGTTACAATGTGGCCGTCAGAGTCGGTGGATGGGAAGTAGGAGATCACGTCGGTTTCAGTGGTGCTACCGCTAGAAACTGTAGTAGTGATTGGAGGTGGTAATGAGAATTCATCGGTGGTAGAACTGTGAGATTCAGTCAAAGTGTAAGTGGTGGTACCAGTTACAATGTGGCCGTCAGAGTCGGTGGATGGGAAGTAGGAGATCACGTCGGTTTCAGTGGTGCTACCGCTAGAAACTGTAGTAGTGATTGGAGGTGGTAACGAGAATTCGTCAGTGGTAGAACTGTGAGATTCAGTCAAAGTGTAAGTGGTGGTACCAGTTACAATGTGGCCGTCAGAGTCGGTGGATGGGAAGTAGGAGATCACGTCGGTTTCAGTGGTGCTACCGCTAGAAACTGTAGTAGTGATTGGAGGTGGTAACGAGAATTCATCGGTGGTAGAACTGTGAGATTCAGTCAAAGTGTAAGTGGTGGTACCAGTTACAATGTGGCCGTCAGAGTCGGTGGATGGGAAGTAGGAGATCACGTCGGTTTCAGTGGTGCTACCGCTAGAAACTGTAGTAGTGATTGGAGGTGGTAACGAGAATTCATCGGTGGTAGAACTGTGAGATTCAGTCAAAGTGTATGTGGTGGTACCAGTTACAATGTGGCCGTCAGAGTCGGTAGATGGGAAGTAGGAGATCACGTCGGTTTCAGTGGTGCTACCGCTAGAAACTGTAGTAGTGATTGGAGGTGGTAACGAGAATTCATCGGTGGTAGAACTGTGAGATTCAGTCAAAGTGTAAGTGGTGGTACCAGTTACAATGTGGCCGTCAGAGTCGGTGGATGGGAAGTAGGAGATCACGTCGGTTTCAGTGGTGCTACCGCTAGAAACTGTAGTAGTGATTGGAGGTGGTAACGAGAATTCGTCAGTGGTAGAACTGTGAGATTCAGTCAAAGTGTAAGTGGTGGTACCAGTTACAATGTGGCCGTCAGAGTCAGTGGATGGGAAGTAGGAGATCACGTCGGTTTCAGTGGTGCTACCGCTAGAAACTGTAGTAGTGATTGGAGGTGGTAATGAGAATTCATCGGTGGTAGAACTGTGAGATTCAGTCAAAGTGTAAGTGGTGGTACCAGTTACAATGTGGCCGTCAGAGTCGGTGGATGGGAAGTAGGAGATCACGTCGGTTTCAGTGGTGCTACCGCTAGAAACTGTAGTAGTGATTGGAGGTGGTAACGAGAATTCATCGGTGGTAGAACTGTGAGATTCAGTCAAAGTGTAAGTGGTGGTACCAGTTACAATGTGGCCGTCAGAGTCGGTGGATGGGAAGTAGGAGATCACGTCGGTTTCAGTGGTGCTACCGCTAGAAACTGTAGTAGTGATTGGAGGTGGTAACGAGAATTCATCGGTGGTAGAACTGTGAGATTCAGTCAAAGTGTAAGTGGTGGTACCAGTTACAATGTGGCCGTCAGAGTCAGTGGATGGGAAGTAGGAGATCACGTCGGTTTCAGTGGTGCTACCGCTAGAAACTGTAGTAGTGATTGGAGGTGGTAACGAGAATTCGTCAGTGGTAGAACTATAAATTTGATTAGTTGAATCTACACTAGAAGAAAATTTTATTGTTGGATCTTTATCGGAATTAACACCATATGTATGACTTGATATACTAATAAAACTAGAACAGTCAGAAACAATATCAACAGCTGATGTAACGGAACTCAATGATATAAACAATGATTCAGTCAAAGTGTAAGTGGTGGTACCAGTTACAATGTGGCCGTCAGAGTCAGTGGATGGGAAGTAGGAGATCACGTCGGTTTCAGTGGTGCTACCGCTAGAAACTGTAGTAGTGATTGGAGGTGGTAACGAGAATTCGTCAGTGGTAGAACTGTGAGATTCAGTCAAAGTGTAAGTGGTGGTACCAGTTACAATGTGGCCGTCAGAGTCGGTGGATGGGAAGTAGGAGATCACGTCGGTTTCAGTGGTGCTACCGCTAGAAACTGTAGTAGTGATTGGAGGTGGTAACGAGAATTCATCGGTGGTAGAACTGTGAGATTCAGTCAAAGTGTAAGTGGTGGTACCAGTTACAATGTGGCCGTCAGAGTCGGTGGATGGGAAGTAGGAGATCACGTCGGTTTCAGTGGTGCTACCGCTAGAAACTGTAGTAGTGATTGGAGGTGGTAACGAGAATTCGTCAGTGGTAGAACTGTGAGATTCAGTCAAAGTGTAAGTGGTGGTACCAGTTACAATGTGGCCGTCAGAGTCGGTGGATGGGAAGTAGGAGATCACGTCGGTTTCAGTGGTGCTACCGCTAGAAACTGTAGTAGTGATTGGAGGTGGTAACGAGAATTCATCGGTGGTAGAACTGTGAGATTCAGTCAAAGTGTAAGTGGTGGTACCAGTTACAATGTGGCCGTCAGAGTCAGTGGATGGGAAGTAGGAGATCACGTCGGTTTCAGTGGTGCTACCGCTAGAAACTGTAGTAGTGATTGGAGGTGGTAACGAGAATTCATCGGTGGTAGAACTGTGAGATTCAGTCAAAGTGTAAGTGGTGGTACCAGTTACAATGTGGCCGTCAGAGTCGGTGGATGGGAAGTAGGAGATCACGTCGGTTTCAGTGGTGCTACCGCTAGAAACTGTAGTAGTGATTGGAGGTGGTAATGAGAATTCATCGGTGGTAGAACTGTGAGATTCAGTCAAAGTGTAAGTGGTGGTACCAGTTACAATGTGGCCGTCAGAGTCGGTGGATGGGAAGTAGGAGATCACGTCGGTTTCAGTGGTGCTACCGCTAGAAACTGTAGTAGTGATTGGAGGTGGTAACGAGAATTCGTCAGTGGTAGAACTGTGAGATTCAGTCAAAGTGTAAGTGGTGGTACCAGTTACAATGTGGCCGTCAGAGTCGGTGGATGGGAAGTAGGAGATCACGTCGGTTTCAGTGGTGCTACCGCTAGAAACTGTAGTAGTGATTGGAGGTGGTAACGAGAATTCGTCAGTGGTAGAACTGTGAGATTCAGTCAAAGTGTAAGTGGTGGTACCAGTTACAATGTGGCCGTCAGAGTCGGTGGATGGGAAGTAGGAGATCACGTCGGTTTCAGTGGTGCTACCGCTAGAAACTGTAGTAGTGATTGGAGGTGGTAATGAGAATTCATCGGTGGTAGAACTGTGAGATTCAGTCAAAGTGTAAGTGGTGGTACCAGTTACAATGTGGCCGTCAGAGTCGGTGGATGGGAAGTAGGAGATCACGTCAGTTTCAGTGGTGCTACCGCTAGAAACTGTAGTAGTGATTGGAGGTGGTAACGAGAATTCGTCAGTGGTAGAACTGTGAGATTCAGTCAAAGTGTAAGTGGTGGTACCAGTTACAATGTGGCCGTCAGAGTCAGTGGATGGGAAGTAGGAGATCACGTCGGTTTCAGTGGTGCTACCGCTAGAAACTGTAGTAGTGATTGGAGGTGGTAACGAGAATTCGTCAGTGGTAGAACTGTGAGATTCAGTCAAAGTGTAAGTGGTGGTACCAGTTACAATGTGGCCGTCAGAGTCGGTGGATGGGAAGTAGGAGATCACGTCGGTTTCAGTGGTGCTACCGCTAGAAACTGTAGTAGTGATTGGAGGTGGTAACGAGAATTCATCGGTGGTAGAACTGTGAGATTCAGTCAAAGTGTAAGTGGTGGTACCAGTTACAATGTGGCCGTCAGAGTCAGTGGATGGGAAGTAGGAGATCACGTCGGTTTCAGTGGTGCTACCGCTAGAAACTGTAGTAGTGATTGGAGGTGGTAATGAGAATTCATCGGTGGTAGAACTGTGAGATTCAGTCAAAGTGTAAGTGGTGGTACCAGTTACAATGTGGCCGTCAGAGTCAGTGGATGGGAAGTAGGAGATCACGTCGGTTTCAGTGGTGCTACCGCTAGAAACTGTAGTAGTGATTGGAGGTGGTAACGAGAATTCGTCAGTGGTAGAACTGTGAGATTCAGTCAAAGTGTAAGTGGTGGTACCAGTTACAATGTGGCCGTCAGAGTCAGTGGATGGGAAGTAGGAGATCACGTCGGTTTCAGTGGTGCTACCGCTAGAAACTGTAGTAGTGATTGGAGGTGGTAACGAGAATTCATCGGTGGTAGAACTGTGAGATTCAGTCAAAGTGTAAGTGGTGGTACCAGTTACAATGTGGCCGTCAGAGTCGGTGGATGGGAAGTAGGAGATCACGTCGGTTTCAGTGGTGCTACCGCTAGAAACTGTAGTAGTGATTGGAGGTGGTAACGAGAATTCATCGGTGGTAGAACTGTGAGATTCAGTCAAAGTGTATGTGGTGGTACCAGTTACAATGTGGCCGTCAGAGTCGGTGGATGGGAAGTAGGAGATCACGTCGGTTTCAGTGGTGCTACCGCTAGAAACTGTAGTAGTGATTGGAGGTGGTAACGAGAATTCATCGGTGGTAGAACTGTGAGATTCAGTCAAAGTGTAAGTGGTGGTACCAGTTACAATGTGGCCGTCAGAGTCAGTGGATGGGAAGTAGGAGATCACGTCGGTTTCAGTGGTGCTACCGCTAGAAACTGTAGTAGTGATTGGAGGTGGTAACGAGAATTCGTCAGTGGTAGAACTGTGAGATTCAGTCAAAGTGTAAGTGGTGGTACCAGTTACAATGTGGCCGTCAGAGTCGGTGGATGGGAAGTAGGAGATCACGTCGGTTTCAGTGGTGCTACCGCTAGAAACTGTAGTAGTGATTGGAGGTGGTAACGAGAATTCATCGGTGGTAGAACTGTGAGATTCAGTCAAAGTGTAAGTGGTGGTACCAGTTACAATGTGGCCGTCAGAGTCGGTGGATGGGAAGTAGGAGATCACGTCGGTTTCAGTGGTGCTACCGCTAGAAACTGTAGTAGTGATTGGAGGTGGTAACGAGAATTCGTCAGTGGTAGAACTGTGAGATTCAGTCAAAGTGTAAGTGGTGGTACCAGTTACAATGTGGCCGTCAGAGTCGGTGGATGGGAAGTAGGAGATCACGTCGGTTTCAGTGGTGCTACCGCTAGAAACTGTAGTAGTGATTGGAGGTGGTAACGAGAATTCGTCAGTGGTAGAACTGTGAGATTCAGTCAAAGTGTAAGTGGTGGTACCAGTTACAATGTGGCCGTCAGAGTCGGTGGATGGGAAGTAGGAGATCACGTCGGTTTCAGTGGTGCTACCGCTAGAAACTGTAGTAGTGATTGGAGGTGGTAACGAGAATTCATCGGTGGTAGAACTGTGAGATTCAGTCAAAGTGTAAGTGGTGGTACCAGTTACAATGTGGCCGTCAGAGTCGGTGGATGGGAAGTAGGAGATCACGTCGGTTTCAGTGGTGCTACCGCTAGACACTGTAGTAGTGATTGGAGGTGGTAACGAGAATTCGTCAGTGGTAGAACTGTGAGATTCAGTCAAAGTGTAAGTGGTGGTACCAGTTACAATGTGGCCGTCAGAGTCGGTGGATGGGAAGTAGGAGATCACGTCGGTTTCAGTGGTGCTACCGCTAGAAACTGTAGTAGTGATTGGAGGTGGTAATGAGAATTCATCGGTGGTAGAACTGTGAGATTCAGTCAAAGTGTAAGTGGTGGTACCAGTTACAATGTGGCCGTCAGAGTCAGTGGATGGGAAGTAGGAGATCACGTCGGTTTCAGTGGTGCTACCGCTAGAAACTGTAGTAGTGATTGGAGGTGGTAACGAGAATTCGTCAGTGGTAGAACTGTGAGATTCAGTCAAAGTGTAAGTGGTGGTACCAGTTACAATGTGGCCGTCAGAGTCGGTGGATGGGAAGTAGGAGATCACGTCAGTTTCAGTGGTGCTACCGCTAGAAACTGTAGTAGTGATTGGAGGTGGTAATGAGAATTCATCGGTGGTAGAACTGTGAGATTCAGTCAAAGTGTAAGTGGTGGTACCAGTTACAATGTGGCCGTCAGAGTCAGTGGATGGGAAGTAGGAGATCACGTCGGTTTCAGTGGTGCTACCGCTAGAAACTGTAGTAGTGATTGGAGGTGGTAACGAGAATTCGTCAGTGGTAGAACTGTGAGATTCAGTCAAAGTGTAAGTGGTGGTACCAGTTACAATGTGGCCGTCAGAGTCGGTGGATGGGAAGTAGGAGATCACGTCGGTTTCAGTGGTGCTACCGCTAGAAACTGTAGTAGTGATTGGAGGTGGTAACGAGAATTCGTCAGTGGTAGAACTGTGAGATTCAGTCAAAGTGTAAGTGGTGGTACCAGTTACAATGTGGCCGTCAGAGTCGGTGGATGGGAAGTAGGAGATCACGTCAGTTTCAGTGGTGCTACCGCTAGAAACTGTAGTAGTGATTGGAGGTGGTAACGAGAATTCATCGGTGGTAGAACTGTGAGATTCAGTCAAAGTGTAAGTGGTGGTACCAGTTACAATGTGGCCGTCAGAGTCGGTGGATGGGAAGTAGGAGATCACGTCGGTTTCAGTGGTGCTACCGCTAGAAACTGTAGTAGTGATTGGAGGTGGTAACGAGAATTCGTCAGTGGTAGAACTGTGAGATTCAGTCAAAGTGTAAGTGGTGGTACCAGTTACAATGTGGCCGTCAGAGTCGGTGGATGGGAAGTAGGAGATCACGTCGGTTTCAGTGGTGCTACCGCTAGAAACTGTAGTAGTGATTGGAGGTGGTAATGAGAATTCATCGGTGGTAGAACTGTGAGATTCAGTCAAAGTGTATGTGGTGGTACCAGTTACAATGTGGCCGTCAGAGTCGGTGGATGGGAAGTAGGAGATCACGTCGGTTTCAGTGGTGCTACCGCTAGAAACTGTAGTAGTGATTGGAGGTGGTAACGAGAATTCGTCAGTGGTAGAACTGTGAGATTCAGTCAAAGTGTAAGTGGTGGTACCAGTTACAATGTGGCCGTCAGAGTCGGTGGATGGGAAGTAGGAGATCACGTCGGTTTCAGTGGTGCTACCGCTAGAAACTGTAGTAGTGATTGGAGGTGGTAACGAGAATTCGTCAGTGGTAGAACTTGTGATATTTAAAGATGGAGTTTCAACAATGTAGATGGTTTCGGTAGTTTCGTTACCATCGGAACCAGTGAAAGTGGTGGTGATGGTAGACAAGGTGTTGGCTGTAGTACCAGTCCAGTAAGTGTAGGATGTGGTTTCGAAACCAGTACTTGGAGTTTCAACAATGTAGATGGTTTCGGTAGTCTCATTACCATCGGAACCAGTGAAAGTGGTGGTGATGGTAGACAAGGTGTTGGCTGTAGTACCAGTCCAGTAAGTGTAGGATGTGGTTTCGAAACCAGTACTTGGAGTTTCAACAATGTAGATGGTTTCGGTAGTTTCGTTACCATCGGAACCAGTGAAAGTGGTGGTGATGGTAGACAAGGTGTTGGCTGTAGTACCAGTCCAGTAAGTGTAGGATGTGGTTTCGAAACCAGTACTTGGAGTTTCAACAATGTAGATGGTTTCGGTAGTTTCGTTACCATCGGAACCAGTGAAAGTGGTGGTGATGGTAGACAAGGTGTTGGCTGTAGTACCAGTCCAGTAAGTGTAGGATGTGGTTTCGAAACCAGTACTTGGAGTTTCAACAATGTAGATGGTTTCGGTAGTCTCATTACCATCGGAACCAGTGAAAGTGGTGGTGATGGTAGACAAGGTGTTGGCTGTAGTACCAGTCCAGTAAGTGTAGGATGTGGTTTCGAAACCAGTACTTGGAGTTTCAACAATGTAGATGGTTTCGGTAGTCTCATTACCATCGGAACCAGTGAAAGTGGTGGTGATGGTAGACAAGGTGTTGGCTGTAGTACCAGTCCAGTAAGTGTAGGATGTGGTTTCGAAACCAGTACTTGGAGTTTCAACAATGTAGATGGTTTCGGTAGTTTCGTTACCATCGGAACCAGTGAAAGTGGTGGTGATGGTAGACAAGGTGTTGGCTGTAGTACCAGTCCAGTAAGTGTAGGATGTGGTTTCGAAACCAGTACTTGGAGTTTCAACAATGTAGATGGTTTCGGTAGTTTCGTTACCATCGGAACCAGTGAAAGTGGTGGTGATGGTAGACAAGGTGTTGGCTGTAGTACCAGTCCAGTAAGTGTAGGATGTGGTTTCGAAACCAGTACTTGGAGTTTCAACAATGTAGATGGTTTCGGTAGTTTCGTTACCATCGGAACCAGTGAAAGTGGTGGTGATGGTAGACAAGGTGTTGGCTGTAGTACCAGTCCAGTAAGTGTAGGATGTGGTTTCGAAACCAGTACTTGGAGTTTCAACAATGTAGATGGTTTCGGTAGTTTCGTTACCATCGGAACCAGTGAAAGTGGTGGTGATGGTAGACAAGGTGTTGGCTGTAGTACCAGTCCAGTAAGTGTAGGATGTGGTTTCGAAACCAGTACTTGGAGTTTCAACAATGTAGATGGTTTCGGTAGTCTCAATGCCATCGGAACCAGTGAAAGTGGTGGTGATGGTAGACAAGGTGTTGGCTGTAGTACCAGTCCAGTAAGTGTAGGATGTGGTTTCGAAACCAGTACTTGGAGTTTCAACAATGTAGATGGTTTCGGTAGTTTCGTTACCATCGGAACCAGTGAAAGTGGTGGTGATGGTAGACAAGGTGTTGGCTGTAGTACCAGTCCAGTAAGTGTAGGATGTGGTTTCGAAACCAGTACTTGGAGTTTCAACAATGTAGATGGTTTCGGTAGTTTCGTTACCATCGGAACCAGTGAAAGTGGTGGTGATGGTAGACAAGGTGTTGGCTGTAGTACCAGTCCAGTAAGTGTAGGATGTGGTTTCGAAACCAGTACTTGGAGTTTCAACAATGTAGATGGTTTCGGTAGTCTCATTACCATCGGAACCAGTGAAAGTGGTGGTGATGGTAGACAAGGTGTTGGCTGTAGTACCAGTCCAGTAAGTGTAGGATGTGGTTTCGAAACCAGTACTTGGAGTTTCAACAATGTAGATGGTTTCGGTAGTTTCGTTACCATCGGAACCAGTGAAAGTGGTGGTGATGGTAGACAAGGTGTTGGCTGTAGTACCAGTCCAGTAAGTGTAGGATGTGGTTTCGAAACCAGTACTTGGAGTTTCAACAATGTAGATGGTTTCGGTAGTCTCAATGCCATCGGAACCAGTGAAAGTGGTGGTGATGGTAGACAAGGTGTTGGCTGTAGTACCAGTCCAGTAAGTGTAGGATGTGGTTTCGAAACCAGTACTTGGAGTTTCAACAATGTAGATGGTTTCGGTAGTTTCGTTACCATCGGAACCAGTGAAAGTGGTGGTGATGGTAGACAAGGTGTTGGCTGTAGTACCAGTCCAGTAAGTGTAGGATGTGGTTTCGAAACCAGTACTTGGAGTTTCAACAATGTAGATGGTTTCGGTAGTCTCAATGCCATCGGAACCAGTGAAAGTGGTGGTGATGGTAGACAAGGTGTTGGCTGTAGTACCAGTCCAGTAAGTGTAGGATGTGGTTTCGAAACCAGTACTTGGAGTTTCAACAATGTAGATGGTTTCGGTAGTTTCGTTACCATCGGAACCAGTGAAAGTGGTGGTGATGGTAGACAAGGTGTTGGCTGTAGTACCAGTCCAGTAAGTGTAGGATGTGGTTTCGAAACCAGTACTTGGAGTTTCAACAATGTAGATGGTTTCGGTAGTTTCGTTACCATCGGAACCAGTGAAAGTGGTGGTGATGGTAGACAAGGTGTTGGCTGTAGTACCAGTCCAGTAAGTGTAGGATGTGGTTTCGAAACCAGTACTTGGAGTTTCAACAATGTAGATGGTTTCGGTAGTTTCGTTACCATCGGAACCAGTGAAAGTGGTGGTGATGGTAGACAAGGTGTTGGCTGTAGTACCAGTCCAGTAAGTGTAGGATGTGGTTTCGAAACCAGTACTTGGAGTTTCAACAATGTAGATGGTTTCGGTAGTCTCATTACCATCGGAACCAGTGAAAGTGGTGGTGATGGTAGACAAGGTGTTGGCTGTAGTACCAGTCCAGTAAGTGTAGGATGTGGTTTCGAAACCAGTACTTGGAGTTTCAACAATGTAGATGGTTTCGGTAGTTTCGTTACCATCGGAACCAGTGAAAGTGGTGGTGATGGTAGACAAGGTGTTGGCTGTAGTACCAGTCCAGTAAGTGTAGGATGTGGTTTCGAAACCAGTACTTGGAGTTTCAACAATGTAAATGGTTTCGGTAGTCTCATTACCATCGGAACCAGTGAAAGTGGTGGTGATGGTAGACAAGGTGTTGGCTGTAGTACCAGTCCAGTAAGTGTAGGATGTGGTTTCGAAACCAGTACTTGGAGTTTCAACAATGTAGATGGTTTCGGTAGTTTCGTTACCATCGGAACCAGTGAAAGTGGTGGTGATGGTAGACAAGGTGTTGGCTGTAGTACCAGTCCAGTAAGTGTAGGATGTGGTTTCGAAACCAGTACTTGGAGTTTCAACAATGTAGATAGTTTCAGTAGTCTCGTTACCATCGGAACCAGTGAAAGTGGTGGTGATGGTAGACAAGGTGTTGGCTGTAGTACCAGTCCAGTAAGTGTAGGATGTGGTTTCGAAACCAGTACTTGGAGTTTCAACAATGTAAATGGTTTCGGTAGTCTCATTACCATCGGAACCAGTGAAAGTGGTGGTGATGGTAGACAAGGTGTTGGCTGTAGTACCAGTCCAGTAAGTGTAGGATGTGGTTTCGAAACCAGTACTTGGAGTTTCAACAATGTAAATGGTTTCGGTAGTCTCATTACCATCGGAACCAGTGAAAGTGGTGGTGATGGTAGACAAGGTGTTGGCTGTAGTACCAGTCCAGTAAGTGTAGGATGTGGTTTCGAAACCAGTACTTGGAGTTTCAACAATGTAGATGGTTTCGGTAGTCTCATTACCATCGGAACCAGTGAAAGTGGTGGTGATGGTAGACAAGGTGTTGGCTGTAGTACCAGTCCAGTAAGTGTAGGATGTGGTTTCGAAACCAGTACTTGGAGTTTCAACAATGTAGATGGTTTCGGTAGTCTCATTACCATCGGAACCAGTGAAAGTGGTGGTGATGGTAGACAAGGTGTTGGCTGTAGTACCAGTCCAGTAAGTGTAGGATGTGGTTTCGAAACCAGTACTTGGAGTTTCAACAATGTAGATAGTTTCAGTAGTCTCGTTACCATCGGAACCAGTGAAAGTGGTGGTGATGGTAGACAAGGTGTTGGCTGTAGTACCAGTCCAGTAAGTGTAGGATGTGGTTTCGAAACCAGTACTTGGAGTTTCAACAATGTAAATGGTTTCGGTAGTCTCATTACCATCGGAACCAGTGAAAGTGGTGGTGATGGTAGACAAGGTGTTGGCTGTAGTACCAGTCCAGTAAGTGTAGGATGTGGTTTCGAAACCAGTACTTGGAGTTTCAACAATGTAAATGGTTTCGGTAGTCTCATTACCATCGGAACCAGTGAAAGTGGTGGTGATGGTAGACAAGGTGTTGGCTGTAGTACCAGTCCAGTAAGTGTAGGATGTGGTTTCGAAACCAGTACTTGGAGTTTCAACAATGTAGATAGTTTCAGTAGTCTCGTTACCATCAGTTCCTGTTATGGTTTTTATTATTGTTGATTCTGTTTTTGTTGTTGTTCCTGTCCAGTATGTATATGATGTAGTTGTACTAGCTATTGTTGGAGTTTCTATGATATATATTGTTTCTGTTGTTTCTTCGTTGTCTTTTCCAGTAAATGTGGTTATAATTGTTGATATAGTACTTGTAATGCTACCTGTCCAATATGTATAGGACGATGAAATGCTTGTTCTGGTAGGTGTGTCCACCCAATAAACAGTTTCAGTAGTAACTATCTTGTTTGAACCTATATAAGAATAAGCAAAGGTTCTTGTTGTAGTTGTATAAGTACCTACCCAATAAGAGGTGTTACTAATAGTAGTAGTAGTTTGTCTTCTACTGTAAACAACAACTGTATTCTCTATATAACTTGCAGCATTACTTCCTGTATATGAGACTACAAATGTGGCGGTAGAAAGAATTATAATAGTGCTTGGTAAATCAGTTGGTACTGTGCTCCAGTTCCATTCTCTTTTATTTAATTTGTAAGTATCATCAAAAGCTCTTCTCTCTATTTTGATGGAGTCTTGAGGATCGTCTGGCCATTCTAAGGTAGTAGTTACAGTTGTTTCATGTATTTTATTTTGTTTTAGGTTTGGTTTTACCTTTAGAGAATAAACTAAATATTCAGTATATTCTAAACCATTTTCTCCAGTGAATAAATTAGTTTCCGTATATAGAGCTAGATCCTCTCCAACTTGTTGGTAGATTGTTGTTGTAGAAGTGAGTGCTCTATGAGGGGTTGCTAGAACAAATAGAGTTGTAAAAGTCATTATTTTGTTGTCCCCTATATATGAAGATACGGATGTGGTAAGTGTAGTTGTTCCTGATACACCTCCATGTGTAAATGAAGTTCCTGTCTTCTTGGTTGTGGGAACATTTACAATATATGAGGTCAAAATATAAACCTTATTGTTAGAAGAATAACTATCTAGAAACTTGGTTACTGTGGTGATGCGTGATCCTGTCCAAGGTTGATACTTTGTAGTTTTAGTATAATGGATACCTCCCTTAGAAGTATTTGAAGTAGAATCATCTGAACTTTGGAAGAAAAAATCATTCTTTAAAGTAGGTGTGAATATTAAGTAGTATGTGACATAATGGATACCTATTGAACCGTTATAATCACCTTTCCAATGGGATATCAAGGATTGTGTTGTTGTATAATCTTTTGTCCAAGCCGTAGTGGATATAGTTGTTAATCTTTCTCGACTTGATAAAGCATGAGACGTGATTACGAGATATAACAGAAGTATCAGCCTATAAAGAGGCTTTGATAGCTTCATTTTAACAATCTGGTAATAAGGTGACCTTTATAGATATTTTAAAACGTCTTATAGATCTGAATGTTCTGAAACGCCTCGACCAGTTAAAAAATGAAACAAGTTTAAAAAATTTTATTTAAACTCTGGTATATATATAAATTGGTATTCATAACAACTGAATGTAAACACAATTCTTAACTTCAATGGAAATGTAGATCATATGTGAATGAATGGATTTTCCTTATATTTTTAACCGAGCAAGAAAAAAACCTTCAAATGGCTACAATACCCCATTAGTTAAGTAACGTACCCAAAGTGACAGTAAGGATTTATCCTCCTTCAAAGCTACAAAGTTTAAATTTTCGAAAATTTCCCGGAACCTCCCTAAAGGATCCCCAATATCGCGGAACTTTAGCCGTTTAAAAAAGGACTTTAAGGAATTTGGAAAAGAATTTTTCCCCGGAAATATAAATTGTGCCAAAAAGCATTTTACCCAAAAATCGGTTTTCCCGGGTGCAAAGTTTAAAAATATATAAAGTTGTGAAAGTGT